AAACCCTAAACCCTAAACCCTAATTTTATTATTATAAACTAAATATAATGAATAACAAAATTATTCTTAAATTAATTCTTACTTGCTAGAATATAAGATTATGAAATTCTATTTATTATTTACAATTATATTCCATGTATAAAGTATTATTAAATAATACTAATTTCAAATTAATTAGATATCATTTGACTGTTGTCCTGTCGTGAAGATTCCCCGACTAGAATGATATTCACAGATAACCTTAACTACATTAGAAGAGCAAAAAAAAGAAACACACTTTTGGTAAGAAATGATTCTGCTGACCACCCTTACAACCGCATACAGGCCGACTGATCACTGTTTCTGCTTTTTATGACTATGCTTTGGATGAAGATCCTGCCCGTATACCTTGAAGAAATCTGGCGGCTCCTGGGGGTGTCTGCCAGTAATGTTGTGAAAGGCAGTGGTAGAGATATAGTTCGTCTTACCTTCACGCACTAGAGAGTAATACTCTAGTAAATATTGTATCTCGGAGTCGTCACTTTCAGCCTGAGCATGTAGGACCTTTTTGGCTTCTGCCCTGTAAATCACACTCCTCAGTATAGGATCTCCCACAGAGAAAAGGGTCACATACTCAGATATATCTTTGAATTGAAGGTCCTCTCCTATTGACTTACTAGTAGCTGTGGCAAGCTCACCACCGGTAGCAAGTATCGGTCCTATATAGTATAAGTGTAAATCCTTCTATTTTGTGGGGTCTGACTTACCAGTCAGAACTATAAGCTGCCCTCTGTGTTTATTGCTAAATCCATGTTTTCCTTTACCTGTTAGAATATGAGCGACAACTTGTGCAACATCCTGTATAAAATTTAGTGTTAATTTAATATATGGCTGGAGAGGTAGCTTACACCAAGAGTGATCGGCGCGAACTTGTGGTTAGTGCTGATGGGAAGGGGAAGTAAGCCCTCTTCCTGTGCCTGCTTGGAGTAGAGGAGGAGATTCTCCGCGTAAAATCCGGGTCTAGTAAAAATAAGATGATCTCAATTGTACCTCATGTGAAAAATGGGTATTTAAAGGACCGTGAAAGGAAGCCTACTGTATAATAACGGGAGAATGACCTGTCGAGGTTGATGGATCCTCCTTTGAGGACATGAACATAGCTTCCAAGTCTATAAACTTACGTAGACGGGGTTGCCTGTCTTGCTCTGCTAGATTGTAGTTAGCTGAGCTAAGAAAGCAAATATTCGGAATATTAGCTTTCTTAGCTGCTTCAATTAACTCAACCGTGATATTAAATTTATCTTGATGTGTCGGCGGAATTAAGTATATTGTATCTGCTCCTATACTTTTGAGAGCAGAAACAGTATCCCTAAGCCGGCCAGGCTTGTGTGAAATAATCTTTGCACCAAGCTTGGTGAGCTCTTTGCAAGAATCGGTATTAGGATGGAGGGACAAGCATGTAACAGAGCTGAGCTTATCAGTGAAGTTAGGGTCTGTTAGACACAGTTCGGCGATTAGAAAGCCGGTGTGGCCGTCCGCCGAGGTAATGCAAAGTGAATGAGACATTTTTTAATTTAATCTGTGTTGCTGAGATGCTTTGGCATGTCTGGGCTACAATTGGGGTATCTATATATTAATGCGTGGTGGCGGCTTGTGACAATGACATCGACTATTTACTGTTAGCTGGTGAAGTAACACACCCGTCATTGCGGTGACACCTGATTGTAGGGCTTCGCGAATACGACATTTTGTCTTTTAAAAGCTGTTAGGAACAGCCGGCAAGTAATCTATAGATGAGTGATACGGGGCCACCACTAACGAGACCTGAGGACATTGTACTAAGGAGTTTGGCGGAGGACTTTAAGCCTAGGATTAGACATGAGCTAGATATAACGGGTGCGGCTTGGGTACGAGTCTTCCTGACCGCATGCGGCGTCTGTTATTTCTATGTACTTGTGGCAATCGACATTTCTCGCTATGTGCGATTCCTTGGTCTTTGATAAACCTCGGATAGATGAAACTGGGTGTTGATCTCGGGTCCAGCTCCTTCCGATTTCTTTGAGAAACCTGACTGAGCTAAGCTTCTAGTGCCAGCTTGGCGGGGTTGGGATGGTGTAAGTACACTTCGGGGATATTATTCCATCAAAATTCAACTTTCGCTTTAAAAAGTCGTTAAAATTAAATGATTCACGTGAGGATGATGGACTCTTATAATATTACTTCAATTCGTTAATGAAATGAAAAATTTTCTAGCATAGTAAGTAAATGTAAATATAGATTAGCGTGTTCTCTAGGTTTAGATATTGAAAATCTGTTACGTGACGTCTTGCCAAGAATCATGAAATTCAGCGAGGTTTATCTGTTAAATGATCCCCGGGTGGGGACACTAAATGAGAGTTCTTATTATCAGCTTTATAAGGGTTTGTTGGTAATGTAACATGAGACCGGGTTGTAGTTAGGAGCGTTATGAGGGGGCACAATCAGTTACTTTAATTATCCAGAAAATAGTATACCAGTTCATCTCCGTCCCCAGCTCTATTTTTCAGCTATAATATATGTTGGTTGTTGTCAGGCCCTGTGTTGGCATAGTCCACACTGATTGGTAGGTCAGATATCTCGCGCTACTACGGTTGCATTGGAAATGAAACTCCTCTAATAAGACATGATAACAGCCCCTATGATGCTATCTTGGTTCAATTCTGTCGGATGTTATCTTCCGCTTGACGCCAGGAGCAGTATGCATGTTCTGGTATTGGTGATTATCTGGAGGATTCTTGGAGGTAGGATCTTTACAGATTCCGTAATAAACTGATATTTACTAGGAGTACTAGTAGCCTACTGAGATAGCAGGGTTTTATTTATTAATGAGATTTTCAGTAGGATGTAGTAATGAGGGAACAGTAAGACAATGCTTTATCTGCCACTGGAAGGGCAGGTATTATTAAAGTTGTTTACTAGCTAGCCTCCTCGAGTTGTGCATGGAGGTGACTTTCTTTTATAATTCTGTTGCTTATTCAGATAACAAAATATTTATTCATTCTAACACTATTTTGTTCTTCTGAATTCACTCACTCAAATATTTATTTGCTATATCAAATTGGCTCCGCGGTCGGTTCCCACTATGGCTAAGTCGGTTGCCACCATCAAGTTCCTTATTTTGATGCTGTTTCTTCGCCATGCCCTTGCAATTCCATTTTAGCCTTTCCCCAGTGAGGCCGACATTATTCCGTCCGCGAACGGATCCAACCTGGCTGCAAGGTACCTGCTTAAAAGAGCATCACAATACTCTGGTGTCCGGTACGGCTCTAACTCCAGTGCGGTGCAGAAGGAATATCTAGAGACTAGTTAAAGAAAAGTCCTAGACCATGGTGAAATCGTCTCAAGGCAGTTCTTGTTGAAACTAATATACCACAAAAGTAGTACTTTGATGAGTGGCCTGCATTAATATGTTTGTCCTCTGATGCTATAGTCCTATTGGAAGTAGTCTAGCTCTCCACAAGCCCCAGTCTACCCAAAGCTACTTGAAACCACTATATACGAGTCCATGGTATGCGCAACTGCAGTAACACAGGTAGATAACTCCGGAGCTTGTCCAAGTTGGTATTCGGAGAATCTTCATTGAAGTGGATGGATATCACATCCTGGTGGCAGGCTGAGCTTAGACCTTGCTTTATGGTATGCATTGCTGTATTGTTTCAAGTTTATTACTTATTTCTTATCAGTTATACTCTCCAAACACCAGTTCATAATTTCCGTAGAATAGGTGGCTTCTGTGGCACGAGTTCTTCCCTTTAGGCACACGCACGCATGCATGTATAAATTCATCTTGCCCTTGTTCCCGACGTGCATAAGCTCCCCGAAACTCGGCGATTTTGTGGTGTTTCTAAATATATTCCAAATCATAATATTCCGATGTCATGTAACTATAAATGTGCCATTATATATCTTATAAATTGATAAACAGCGCTGAGTATAAGACTAAATATATATATAAGGTAGGAAGATGAGGCAGAAGAAAATTAACACTTGAGGGAAATAGCAGCACATTCAGATCAAATAGCCTTTTTTTAATAGAGCTTACCGCCCTTTATATGGGGCTTATGTACGGCTGTGTGGTGGTGAGGTCCTGCTCTCTACAAGGCATCGTCGTATGTATTACATTGTCTTAGGAAAAGGTTATATGGTTTATTAGAGTGGCGGAGGATAGGAGGAATTCGCTCTCTCCAGATCGCCTTGTGGACCGACTCAATCGATATTTAATGAAGTTATAAGATACATGGTTCTAATCCCAAGGCCTAAAGCGTATCACGTTGCTAGGATCTAGCAGTAAAAAAGATTCGTACTGAATGCCTTTGTTAGAGACATTGGTTGGGTCACTCATAGTTTCGGTGACTTGAGGTGATGCAGTGGTCTACCCCTGCAGCAACACCCTCTAGTAGCATGTATCAGCAGCTGGAGTCAGATATTGCTTGTGAAATACCTCTATATTGTTGTCTGCAATCATGCGCGCCTTGATAGGGTTATCGAGAAGCTCTTGGATCTTGTGCGGTAAATTGGTCCAGTCCCTCTCTATCTGAATAAAGTTCTGCTGCGGACCTGATGAGACGAGAAGATAGTGGTGATGTTGGATATATTGTAATTTATGAATCACTACTACCGATCGACAGGCTTGGCGATATTTGAGAGACGCTGAGTAGGACTGACCTAGAAGATATTAGCTGGACTTTCTTGTTGATATTAGTAATGCTTAGATGATGCAATATCCATATCTTCCATGTGAGTGATGAACCGGTAATCACAATGATTGTCTATGCTAAGGTAGTTGGCCTTGTTCTTCCACTTGATCTCTTTCATATTTTCCCAGGTGTAATTCCGCGCAATCTCGAGTAGGGCGTGTTGTAGCTTTGGGGCGAAACTGAGCTTTCCACGCCAGACTAGTTTGTTCTCTTTCTCGTCCCACGGGAGCTCATGCTCTTCCATGTGTTTGACTACCTCGTCATATGGCCCAATCTGAGTATCAATGTGGCCCCAAGACCAGAAGCCAAAGTCTGGCATAAGCCAAACAGATTCTTCAGTAGCCTTCCGTGCTAATATCCAAAGCGGGTGATCTGGTCCAGCAACGTCCTTTAATTTGTTCTCAATAGAAAAGATAATTTCTGTGTTTAGGATGACAGCGAGCTGTGGAGCTGAGACGAGGGCGTGATGAAGTGAAGCCAAAATCCCTAAAATCTTACGGTGGTGGTCCTCCCCCTTTGCCAGAGATCTAAGGATATAAAGCCGTCCTTGGTAGATGGCCACTCTAGCCATGCCGTCTACCATTTTGATATTGTTAATATCAGCCCTCTTGATTCCATGCCTGGCTGTCCAGAATGATTGGGCGCGGATAGAATCCTCAAAAAGGCCCGGGAAGAGAGTGGTGCACTGAGTCTTATTGTAGGAATACTCAAGCGGATCAAAGAAAGTTTGCGTGGGAGGTGCAGAGGATGAGGAAGCAATGTCATGAAAGGGCAACTGGGCGGGGTATTGAAGACAGCTGTTATACTCAAAGATAGCAGCAGTGTGGCAAGCACAGTGGCCAGCGGGGATTAGTTGATTGAGCAGTGGATGGATGTTGTCTTTATCACTGTTAACTCCTAATTATAGTGACCAGATAGAGATCCCAAGAACCGCAGCCAACGCCAAAGTGATTATGTGGAAGGCACTAAGTTTCATATGCCGCCCCATGTCAGCGATTCTCTTGATGTGTAGTACTGAAAGGGTCGAGTGTATACAGAAATTCCAGGGAGGAAGAGGTTCATACTAGTAGATGGTAAGCTATCAGTGGCTAGTAGGGGAGAGGGGGGAAGACACAATGTCTCTGCTAGTGGTAACGAAGGATTACTTACCTGTAATACTTGGCCAACTTCTAGTGATATAAAATCACATCACTTCATGAAGCGCTAAATAAAGTACCCGGATAGGGCATGATTGACCAAAACATCCTTGTCATAATTCAAGCCTGTTGCGATATCCACAATTCAAGAAATTCTACGGGAATAGAGGCGTACTTCCGAGGCTTCGCTTTCTTTGTTGTGGACCCTTTGGACCCTCAACGGACCCACTACAGGTATCTTCTCGGGAAAGGATCAATTTGTTTTTAATAGGCCCGACTACTGCTTAAACGAATGGCTTACCTTAATATGCATGGTTACTGCGCCGCATGGGGCTCTTAATGCCCTACAGGGCGTGCTCAGCTGAACCCCTTGCTATATAATATCTATTACTTGTGATCCGCCTGTGAAAAAGTACCTCTAAGCATACTAATTCGCCCTAGTTTCAGGATAATTTATTTTCGCCATTTTTCCCAGCTCCCTGAGTCGCAAACAGCAGTACACAAGTGACCGAGGTATTTTACCACACATCTCACGTCCGCTGTATCCTGTTTATGTTGGGTTCCTCATTGGACGGATCTATAAAGAATGTCAGCCCTGGCCCTATTTCTAGCAATTACCTGGTGTGCGTCGGGGCGGGCCACTAGACTACTTCTGGCAAATGTTGTGGGTGCTTGTCTTGGTTCCACAATGAAAATAATCTATAACATTTGATGTGTTTGCCTCGTCCCATAACATAGTGGTACCCTCGGAAATCTTGTCTGTCAAATATGAAAGTATCGGTTAAAATTGGTATTACCGGCAAATGCAACGTGCAGCTTTGTGATCGAGAATTGTATAGTAATTGATAATCTCCTTCCTTGGTAGGTGTAAAGAACCTTGTCAAGGGGAAGAGTTGAAACAAGACCACAAGGTTATCATGACCTGCAGATACTCTGCAGACCCCTAGAATCTCCTATATACTCAGATATGTACTAAGAGGAGGTGGATATCTATCCTTATAAGGACTCCCTTTCTTACAGTAGAACTAGAGGTGCAATGGGGACCTCAGCAAAATTTCTGATATAAAGAATAGTGTAAAGCTAAGTAAATGTCTAAATTCCCTATTATGTACTGTATTTATATTTTTTGTTCGTACCTTTCTACTAGGGCTAAGGACTAGGTAAAGAAGGGTAAGTGTTGCATGTCTATGTCTCACACCGAGTATATGGATGTAAGATTAGAACCAATGTTGGGAAGCATGCTCAGAAATTCCTATGCGACCCAGTGTGTTCCGGAGTCATGTGAGTCATGTAGTGATTAACCACATAGTAATTGGGTTGAACGGGAAGAGTTCAAAGCCAGAGAAGAAGGTGATGATGTTGAGACTTGACTGGCCACCCTTGGTTATGCCAGCCTAGCTGGATGTCGAGGCAGCGCAGCACCGGCTCCTTTAGTGCACTTGGTAATCTTCTTGATATTACCCAAGGTATTGGCTCTCCATAGGTAATATATGCCACGGCGGAGTGCCTTATAGAGTCTAAGGGTATTAATAGAGTATAATTTCAGTCTCATAACTGAAAAGTCAACCTCCAGGCGCCGGTGTCTTGGAATTGAACTTGGCCCATGTAACTTTAAATGACAGCGCTCATGAACTGAAAATGGGACAGTATCATTCAGTTCTGAGAGGGACGAGCGATTAAGGCAAGGGAGAATGCGTCCGAGAAAGCCGTTAGCTCATACTAGAATTGAGCGTGCTTCGCTTGGCAAGGTACTACTCTGTCATGTCTTATTGCCTTATCCGTGGTCTATGCCTATTTGGATACAGGGTTCTATGCGGAGAGGTTTGCTAGCTCTGTAAATAATTTCTCGGCTTTCCCGGGGCTTCCTTATCAAAACATTCCAGTCCTTGGCGGTGGTCTCTTAGAGGGTTTACCAATGCGTAGCTTACGGTCTATATGTTAATCATTGTGGGGGTAAATAACAGTAGATGTCGAAGTCCAGTAAAGTCTAGTGCAAACCCTTGCAACTCTCATAATAGTAGATCAATGCACATGTCTGACTCACTATAATCTAGTCCTGGGCTAATGATAGTAGTATTCCGCGTAGGGAGGTTCTCACTTTTCGTGTCTCCGCTTTTGGTTGTTAGCCACGTAGTTTGGTGATAGTGGAAGCAAAGGCTAGTAAATGAGACTTATATACGGAGACCCCTAAACACCTCTTGAGTCACTTTTATTTCTAAACTATCTAGAGCAATTCTCCTGACCTCAAAGGCTCCTTTCAAATACATCATGATGAAGTTTCTTATTGTCTCTCTCCCATTCCTCTCCACATTGGCATAAAACCCTATTCCCGCGGATCCTAAGGACAGCGTGGAGACCGCCACCCCTACTCCTTTGGCCAAAGTCTGATAGCCGGTTCTTCGTTCAACTGCAAAGGATCGAGCCAATGTGGCCATTTCCAGGCATGACTGGATACTGCTAAAGAGCTGTTGATACTATGCTTCCAGGTCTAGTCTTCGACGCTAAGTGAGGAACTATTTTTCCCTTTTTTGACAGTATAACCTAACATGTTCTAGCGGTGGCCGTACGGGCAACTGCTGGGGTGCACCTGACGGTCTTGGATGCGGTGTCTTTGTTGCGGGGCCTGGAGGGTGCACAAGAACCACCGAGCAGATGAAAGCAGCATTCAACAACATTAGGGCCCATGACTGTAAGATATGCGGCACTGTTACGGACGATGATAATGGCAACGACAATTGTCAGATCAGAATTGACTACGTCACGGGATGCAACAACTACAATCAAGGACCTGTCATTACTCTACCTATTGCTAGCTTGGGGTTCGGTGTATGAATGACGTCGAATGTGGGAAGCCCCTGCACTGGATATTTTTGTTAAGGGTCGGCTGATCAAGGCAAGTCTTTGAGAAGAGATAAACAACTTTTGTTATCACTGTACATATAACATTACATTGAATATAGCCTCATTTTTGTTGTACAAGTAGTTGGAATGACATAGATTTCTGTTTAGACTATCAACGAGAAAGATAGACTTGGTACCACTCACCACAGCAGATTGTCTCTTTCCAGGTCATAGACAGTCTAGGAGGATTCAATACAACTGTTACATCTTATTATCTAATATTATTAAAGATATATTATAGGATATTGAACATCTTGCTAGATAACTAGCTATATATAATTTTAATCAAGACTAAATAATCAATTATAACTTGTAATATTGTATAACAATGTGATAGGATCTACTTGTCAGGGTAGAAAGCCTGTTGACTAGGTAAGGAATCCGCCACGAAACATAATAGATTAGTCTAACAATTGACAAAGATAGCTTATATCCACGAGATAGACTGATCCTTAAGGGATCAGTAGCTTATTACAAAGAAATCAGTATCTTATAAATATCAAGAAGATATAAAACCTTTATTAATAATCTTATAACTTTTATAATTATTATAATACATTATTCTGATACCCAAGGCCCCGATAACTAGATTATTTTATTATAAATAGTATTCTTCTTTGCTGGGATAAGTTACCCGGCTCAGATATTAAAGATAATCTTATATATTCCTGATTCAGAATAGTATAGATCTAATAACAGGAGGCGGGGGGTCCGCGGGAAATATTATAAAAATAAGATTATATATTATTTCTGTATAGCTTCAAGGGTGTTTAATTATATTTATATAAATGAATTAATAGAAGAGAAATATAAATAAAAAATCTTTTTATATTATTTTTCTTTCTTTTCTTTTTTTATCCTGGGGTTATTGTTTCTTTAATAATTTAGTATTATTTTATTTATTTTTTATAATCTTTTTATTAATTCTTTATTATTTTTATTATTATATATTAATTATTTAGTGATCGAGTGCTATTTTATATTCATTTCTTACTTTATTTATCTCTGAATTATATATTCTATATTAAATCTTTTAATATAATTAATAAAATATACTATTACTGCCACAGAGCTACAGTTAACTGATTATATTCTATCTGTATTACAGTAATTAAACTATAATAATTATAATATATATATTATTTTTATACTTTAATAAAAAATTTTAAATCTAATAAAATAAAAGTACAGGAGATCTTTAAAATTAATTATATTCTTAATAAGAAAGAGTCTATCTTATATTACCAGTATTATAGCTGGCATGGCGGCTGCGAAATAATATAGATTTATAAATTTTCTTTAATATTTCTAGATTAATATAATTAGACTCCTGCAGGAGTCTTAAAAAATACTATTAAATTAATTAAGTTTTTAAACTAATACTATACTTATTTCTTTTATATTCTAGAGAATAAAAAGAATAATATCTTTATAAATTTTAATAAAAATATTATTTATACTGTTAATAACTGTATTATATATCTAGATAAGATCTTTATCCAGATAATAATAACTTATAATTATTACCATGGTCTTTCGGTTACCCAGAAATCAGTATATAAAAAATAACTTAATTATTAATTATTATATTAATATTTTACTAGCATTATATTACTAATTATAAAGTATTTCTAGCTAGATATTATAAGATTATAAAAGTTAATATTAAAAAATTATATTTCATGCCTGGTAATCCTGACTTTATTTTATAGATTTTAATAAAATAATTATTTCATACTAGTATTTCAGCTATAATTAATCTATAATTTAATAGTAATAAATTAAATAATATCTTTAAGTAGATATTTAAAGAGTTTCCAGTAATTTTAAAAGAGTTATGAAGATAGCCTATCTCTAAATTATAATTAAATTAATAATGAATAATAGTAAATTATAATTATTAATATATATGAACATGGTCTGTTGCTTTATAATAATATTTAAAATATATTTATTAATATATTAATAAAATATTATTTAATTAATTCATCATCAATAGTTAAACATGATTCTATAAACTATCTGGTAGTATTTTATTAGATTTTCTTTAATTATTATAGCTTCTGATATATCTTCTAATATTCTCTAATATTTTCTTATATATTTACTATATTTTTATTAGATAATTACTAGTTATATTCACTCAGCCATCTTTTCTATTTAATCAGGTAATAATCTTGGCTGTTATATTATTAATAATCTTTAATTTTTTTAATTTTCTATTTATTCTTATTATCTAAGTTAGATATCAGGAGCAGTTTTTCATACTCTTAACTAATATTTTACAGTTTTAATAAAGAAATATAGAATATATTATAGATTTATTTATATTCCTCAGAAAAATATAAGCAATATACTTGGAATCTAATATATTTAAAAATTTAAAAAAATTCTATGAACTTTAGAATTAATTTTCTTAATTTTTGAAATTATAAATTCTAAATTAATAGCTTAACTAGATTCCTTTTCTTGAATAAGAATAGTCTTCTATATTTATTATAATATTTTTTTTATCTTTTCATAGTTATTTACTATATCTTTTATAATTATTCTCTTATTTTTAATCTTTTAATCCTATCCTGTATAGCTGGGATTTTTTATTATTAAGAATTATTTTTAATCCTGATATAAAAGTCCAGGAAATAATTATATTATTTATATTATTATAAATAAATTAGATAATTAGCAATATTACTGGCCAGTTAGAATTAAACTGGCTAAAATAATATTAAAAATAATACTTAAAAGTTTAGTTCATCCGTTCTATTTGGCCATTAATTTAAAGATAAAATATAATTAATAACTTTAAGATTATATAGCTGTTATATATTAGATTTAACTAGAATTTACTTATAAAAATTAATTCTTGATCAGATATAATATCTGATAATAATTTAAAGATTAATTCTACTTATTCATAGAATAATTCTACAAGATTGTCAAACCCTAGGATCGCTTCCCTGTTCCTGTTAGCTTAGCTTCACTGGTATATATACCGTCGAACTGGATCAAGGTAGTATCAGACTAATAGTCTATCTAAAGCACTGGTCTTGAATAAGAAAAGAGAAGTAAAACTAGATAATACTATACAGCTATCTATAAGTAAGTATAGACAAGTATTATATTACTAAGCTTCTAAAAATAAATCACTTAAAGACAAGTAGATTAAGCATAAAGAATAGAACTAATTAAATATATAAATAAATATTCTTATATATTCTATTCTCTATATACCAAGTGGTATATCTTTCTATATACCAAGTGGTATATCTTTCTATATACTATATATTATATATTATATACCTGTCTGTGTATTATCCTATATATCTATAATTATATAATATATAGCTGTTCCGGGTATTATAAAAGTAATCTAGAATTCTCTTTAATAAGAGTTTCTATTTACTTAAGTACTGTCTTTATTAGTATTTTTTATTTAACAAGTCTATCTTACTAGTAGATTAATTAGTAAAAGTCTGTAATATCACTCCTCTTTCTTTAAGATTTCTTGTTCTCAAGAAATATAAAAATATATATTTTTTTATAGATTTATTTAAGTCTTTTAGTTTCTTTTCTTTTCTCAGGATGGATTAATATACCAAAGTATAATAAATATACTAATAATAAATATTTAGCTAATAAGATTAAAAGCTCTAGTTATCTTATAAATATTTTATATAATTTTTATTTTACTTGAGGCAAGATTTATATTATAAGTTTAATTACTTAAAATAAAAAATATTTAATCTATATCTTATATAGTCACAAGTACAAGAAACAGTTTTATAGTAATTAAAAATAGGATAAACTTAAATAAAGTAAGTAAAAGATTATAGCTAATCTTAAAATAGTCTAAAAGCAGTTCATGTAATATTCTGAAAAGATGAATTAAATAATAATAAAAATTATTTATTTATAAAAGTATTAATAATTCTTGAAGAATTATGGTAGTCGGATATTAGATCATGATTTAAATATATTAGAGTAGTTAGATAAGAAGAATCTTCTAAGTACTGAAGATCTCTGAGAGCTAGAGTATCTGGTTAATAAATATAATATTATTTAATTTATTATTATATTAGATAATCCTAGTCTGACTCAGTTAATTAATTCTCTTTCTTTCTAGATAAATTTTAATCTATCTACTAGTAATACTATTCTATAAACTAATAATAGCCTGTCAGATTCTTGATAACTTCTTATTTTACTAAATAATATGATTTACTGCTAATTTTCTTGTAGTCCAGGATTTTTTTAACTTTATATTCTTATTCAGTATTATTATTAATTTCTATATTTTCTGTAATTTTAGTGTTCTTCAGTGCGGGTTCTAATAATAAAATATAAAATATTAAATAAATTTTATTTATTAATTTTAATAGTTTTAACTTATAATTAACTGGTCCTTTCTTTTCTTTAATAATAAATAATTTTAGTTTATAATAGTTAAGCTTCTAGTTTAATTATTTTATCTTAATATTCTAGTAAAGTAGGAATACTTTCTCTTCTCTTTTTAGATTAGGTTTCTTTCTGTATCAGTGATTGTAGTAGATTTTACTTTATAAATTTATAAATTTAATATCTCAGGATAACTAGGTATATATATATCTTATAAATATAATAATATCTTTAATTATATCAGTAACTGGTTGTTTTCCTAATAATATTTCCAGGAATCTTAGATAATAACTGTAGTTAGTATAGAATAGTAAGACTCTAATTATTAAGTAATTAGTATTATTATATAAGAACTGTATTATAGATAACAGGTTTATCTAATTATCTTATTAATAGTTAATATAGTATCTCAAGTATTACTTGATTATCTGGTTAATTCTTTCTATTTATCTATTTATTTACAGATGATAAGCTGTTATTATTTATTTTTTAATTTTTATAAGATCTGCGAGTAATTTCCAGAATTTTAAGGT